CCATGGATTCAGTTGCAGATATTGACGATATTGGCAAAACAATACAGCTGAAGAGCAAGCAGACTGAAATACAAAAAAATCCACTTAAATGCCTACAGCAATTGTGCCAGGATGCATCCGTCGAGATACCAAGCAAAGTGAAATCAACGACTAATTCACCAGAAATAGACTCCACGCAAATCCATCACAGTAAGCAGTTGCATCTGCCAAGTGTGAGCACAGTTAGCCAGAAATCCCAAATTGCTAGCTCAGCAATTGACGAAGCGAAACAATCTAAAACCACGAATGGAAACCAATGGCAAAATAACTTCCAAGAAGTTATCGACCAGAATATGCCAGATCCTGCGAGTGCTACGCAATCGTTGGGACGATCCATGGATAGCAGTCGCATCACCGAAGCTACTGTCAACCTGGATGACCTGAAACGTTGCCTGCTAATGCCTCCATTGCCCTCCAATCCAGATCCACGACTCCAGCACCTACGCATCCTGCGTCCACCAACTCAGCGGAATGGCGAACACGTCAATCTCCAGATCGAAATGCTGAATGTGAATGCATATGCAACGATGGAGATGAATTGTGGCCTGGACCTAATGAAGCTGGCCTTGAAGGGGGCCAATGCTGTGTACAACAGCAACATTAAAGTGCTTCAGATGCACTTCGAGGACGGCCAGGCTGCTTGGATCTGGCACGATGGCAGCATACTTATCACCAATGTGCCCAGCAAAGCAATTCTTGCAAAGACTCAAAGCAATATTGTACGCAAGGTTCTCGATGAAAAGGTGCCAGCAGCACTGGTTCAGTGGAATGTTTTACATTCCCACACGGTACACGTTGCACAATTTCCCTGGGAGATTTGCATTGAGGAGTTCCGGCAATTGAGAACCTATCCGCTGGGCACGGCTGAGGGCCGCCATAAATTTGCCTACTATGTGGATAAGAGCTCATCAGGAGTCGCTGCCAAAGTCTTTGAGTCCGGTACCATCCATGTGTTTGCGATGAGTGCAGCGTTAGCTAATAGCATGTTGGAGAAGCTTTACCTGCTTACGGCCAAACATCGCAAGCCCAAGCCAAGGACTAGAATCGAATAGAAGCCATAATGGAACACTCCATATTCTACTATACAAAACCATAAATTCGATAACAGTTACACTTGTTAGATTTCAATATGAGTTCCTTTAGGTTCGTAACTTAAAGAAACTACTTAGATCAGCGCTAATCCGGGCTCACCAGGCACTATAAAGAAACGGTTTCTACTACAGCCGTAGCAGCAAACACTTCGTGATCTAATACAGAAAATCGCCTCGAAAACTAAAATCGCCAAAACCCTAAATCGACACAAAAATATGTTGTCATTTTAATAATTAATATGAGTAACAAAAATTATAATTTAAAGAAACACCCTGGAAATATGAAACATATTTTTCTAAATTTTAGAATCCACTACCTTTCGTTTTACAAAATTACTCTCTGAAGAATAAGGTGAGGAACTCTTCTGTGCGTTTTTTTTCTTTCAGTGTTTACGATTTGCATATTTTTTGTACAAAAATGTTTGGACAATAACAGCAAAAAACTTTTAATCTTAATGAATTGTTTACATATTTGAATTTGGCGCCCTGCGAGGCATCATTTGAATAGCTTATTAGTTAGTTAGTTGTAATTAAGTATGCACATAATGTTAGGCTTAGTTTAAGTTGCAGCAGCAAGCGTTAGTAGCGCTCCATTGTATGTGCTCTCTTTGTGTAGCGCTCTCTCCCTCTCCCTCTCACTCTCTCTCACACTCTCCTCTCACACATCTCTCTCACATCTCTCTCTCGATAAAGAGCGTTCGCTTATCCGCCGGCTGCTGCAGCTATTCAGTCGATCCGCTTTACTTACTCTTCTTGTGTTGTGAAAAGGCTCAGCGTTGGATTGTAGACTCCTAATATCCATTGTTATTAAACTTTATAACGTTGCTGAAATAACTGTGTTTTTATTTCAAATAAAGCTATCGAAAATCTTATAGAGTCAAAAAATGCCAAGCAATAAATACTTTTAAGATAATCGGATAGCTTTATATGCAAATATTAGACTTAAAGCGACTATCTCAAGAACATTGCAAAGCGCATAAGCTTTCAGCAATTACAGTATTACATGCTCAGAGACAAAGCTTTTGCTCAGTCGGAATCAAGAATCTGAGAGCGTCACACGAGATCGCAGTACGTATTTATACAAAACTATGTCGACTGTCAACGCACCCGGTTGGATTAATCAACAGATTTTTAGTGATCTACTTGAGCATAATCACAATGATTTTGAAAGTATCGAAAAGTTTGAGTGCAACGCAGCGATCAGCGGGGGTGAAAATTATTTGACAATCGTGCTGCGCATTGGCATTGAAATGCAGCTGAAAGGTGAGTCACCGATGAAAGAGAGCTGAATCCGATTTGTATTCGATTAAATATGTGTTTATTCGCAGATAAAAGCAGCAAAGAGATAAGTTATGTATTGAAAATTCCATTGGATAATGATCGTGGCGATGAGCACGATTTCCATGAATTTTTCGTGACGGAGTCTGACATGTATGATCGTCTCATACCCGAATTGGAGGAGCTTTATACCAGGCACACAAATCTCACGATTCGATTCAAGCCACGGCATCTTAAGTTCAGCAAAAACCCGCCCAAATCCGATTACATATTGATGGAGGATCTACGCCCCAAAGGCTATATCAATTTGGAGCGCATGTTGGGCTTGGGACAAACCGAACTCAAAGCAGTGCTGAAAAAAATTGGCTCAATGGCACGCGGCATCCGCTCAAAGGGTGGCAGAGCTGGGAGACTACGAGGAAACATATCAGAAGAGCTACATGAGTCCCGAGTGCTATAAGTGGATAGAACATACAAATATAACATTTAATGTGCCATTTTTGGAGTGCCTGCAGCAGTACGAATTGGATCCGGGGCACCAGCAATTGATAGTAAGTAAAAATGAGCCTGATTTAAAATAAGAATATTCGATTGCTAAACTATCGGACCAAGTTCGAGTTGTGTAGTAAAGGCATAGTTAAATAGTTGGGAGTGGTTACATTAGATTAAAACTATACTTATCTCCAATATATATTTCAGACCAATTACACAGATCGCATGACAGACTTGTATATGGATTTTGGTCGCATTGATAAATCCGAATTTTGCGTGCTCAATCACGGCGATTTCTGGTGTAACAATTTCCTTTTCAAATTGAACTCTGGAGATATAGAGGACATATGTTTTGTGGACTTTCAATTACCGAAATATGGCACACCCGCTCAAGATTTATTCTGTCTATTGATGACGACACCAAACATACACATCAAGTTGGGCAAATTCGATGATTTCATAGAGCATTATCATCACGAGCTTGTGGCGCATCTGAACCTGCTAAAATATACCTCCAAAGTGCCCACACTGACGGAATTGCAAATGAATCTACGAAAAAATGGTCTGTGGGGTGCGTGTTTTAAACAAATTCATATTACGTAAATAGAATAATTGCTGATTCCATTATTTTGTTTTGACAATGGTCATACTCACAGCATTTGTATGCGCTCAGCGAATGCTGCCCGTAACACTTTACCCACCCAGCCCGGATTCCAACATTGGGAACTTCATGGGCGACTCGGAAACAGCAATGAACTTCAAGCGTCAAATGCTGTCGAATCCCAGCTATATCAAGCAAATTAAACTCATTCTACCCTGGCTCATTGAAAGGGGATACATAAACTGAATTGCGACACTGATATGCATATTTATAATTTATACTAATTTTAGTATGTTAAATACTTACGAATTGTAATTAATTATGTGATAAAAAAATGTATTTTATATAATTTTTGTTACTTATTTTTAATTCATAAATATAATCTAATGATTGAAGTTAAATATTACTTTAATAACTCATCCAATTAATCGTTCTATTATTTTTTTCTATTTAAATTCGTTGAGAAACTGTTTAAGAAGAGTGCAATTTTGGTTATTATTAAAGCTTTTTGTTCGTAGAGAGCCCAAACTGATTTGTTTACACTTTTCAGTACCCTCTAGCAAAGAGAATAATATGAAATATTCATTTAATATCTCTTTGGCATTATGAGATGTAAAGAGCGCACTTAAAGAGTAACAAACCGTAAGAGCTTATCTACATTGCCGAGAAGACGAGAGAGTGTTAGACAGAGATGTTCATGAAAGAGTATCTACAATCTGTTTGTGAAGAGACTTCAGAAAAGCTTTCATATTTGCTAGGTTTTTTCGCATTTAATTTATATTAGGAACAGCAAAAGTTATTTAAAAAGAGCAGCGATCTGTAGAGAGCCATTAAATGCTCATCTGCTAATGCCCAAACAAGAAAAAAATAGAAACACTCTTAAAATATGAAATAAAACTTATACAGCGGGTCTACTCAGAAGTTTTTATGTTTAGGTTGTCCCTTCAGATGGAACTTATTCAAATTTTTCTTTGAAGTAGAGCGCAATATTTATGTTGATAAATATAACATTTAGATCAAAAATAAAAAGGTTAAGCATAGCAGACGATAGAATAAACGAATTAAATGCAAGTGATATCTAATTCAAATAAAAAATAATATTGTTAAGTTTTTTATTTACATGAATTTGAAAAAACAAGTTATTTTTCAACATAAAGAAATAAAAACCCATTATAAAAATTATTACAATCAAAGTAAAATAATAATGGTCACAGGTTTTATAATTTTTCTAAGTTGCATCTTAATTTTTTTGTAAAATTACAAGCCTAAATAACTTTTCAATGCGATAAAAAAAAAATAAGATTTTGTGATAAGTTTTATAACTACAATTGCTCTACAAGATTGTAGAACAGGAACACCATTAAATAATGATAATATCTCAATGATAGCTGAAAGCTGGAAGAGCTTTAGACTCATGCCGAAACAATTGTATATAAACAGGTGACTTTCTTAACGATCCACACTGCTTTCACGAAGATCACATTGACTACTACTAAATTCTAAAGAGTTTTTAGCAATTATGTCGCCAAAAGCACCAGAAACAATATTTAATGCGAGTATTAAGCTACCGGAGTGGCTGAAGGCAGATCTTTTTGATAACGTGCTAAAAGATAGCTTTAAAGATTTCAAGGCAATAAAAGAGTTTAAGGCGGTGCCCGGCACAAACCCTGGCGATAATTATGCCACGGTTGTGCTCCAAATTAAAATAGTTGTGGAACTGAAAGGTAAGTGCAAGTGGAATTAATTGGGATTTGTACTAGAATTTAATCTATGCAGATAACACAACTGAATCCACTACGTTCATGCTGAAAATTCCACAACAGACGAAGGCATATCAAGAAGCCTTTGGGAAGAATACGTTTAGCATCTTTGATATGGAACGAGAGATGTTTACGATATATGTCCAAGAGTTTAAACAGCTTTATCGGAATGTTGGCCTAGATATTGAGTTTGGAGCCAAGTGCTACAAGCTAGATATTCCATATGAACATGTACTGCTAGAGGATCTAAAGCGCAAAGGATTTCAACCCGCTAATCGTCAGGTAGGCCTCGATGAGGAGCATACCCTTGATGTGCTCACAAAACTGGCTCAGTGGCATGCAGCCTCGGCTGTCCGGGTAGCCACAATGGGTCCATATCCCAAACATGTATCGGAGGGCATTTTCAATGAGGATGGAAAAGACTTCATACGCAAAATGTCCGATGATAGATTAAAGTACTTGCTCAAGTCCTTTGCCACAATTGAAGGCCACGAAGCGTACTATGAGGATTTGATAAATATGGAGGGTCACATAACAGAAAATGTTTTGGATGTCGCCGCTGTTGATCCAAAAGAGTTCAATGTGTTGAATCACGGTGATTTCTGGCTGCCCAATTTAATGTTCCTCTATGATCCAAGCTCAGGCAAATTACTAGATTCCTATTTGGTCGACTATCAAATGTGTAAATATGGAAGCGTCGCCATTGACTTGCTTTATTTCCTGATATCCTCTCCCCAACTGGAGCTTAAAGTAAGCAAATTCGATTATTTTGTTAAGCAGTACTACGATCAGCTGATAAAACATCTGAAAATATTGAACTACACTAAAGCGCTACCCAGTCTTATTGATATACACAAAACTCTGCTGAAGGCTGGCATTTGGGGTACGTTTTATAATTTTGTAAATCCAATCCTATTGTAGCAGATCTCTAATGATTCTCATTTTACAGGATTTTTGGCAGCTTGCGGTGTTATGGCTGGATGTTTGTTGGAACCCACTGAAATAGCCAGATTTGATAATTTATATGCCGAGACGCCCGAGGGAGATCAATTGAGAACTCTTTTATTTTGTAGCAAGGTCTACAAGGAGCATATTAAGGTTGTTCTTCCTTGGCTACAAAATCGCGGTGCTCTCCAATGTCGCATTAAAAGTAATTAGAAATAGATTCAAATAGAATTATTATACAAAAAACTAAATCAGCCTGAAAATGATTTAATGTGTCTAGCACAACTTACAAGAATTTGATATAACTTCATAATGAATTAAGATTTTCATTTTCAATTCAATTTATTTTTTTGAGTTGTATCCACAAATTTCCAAAATTAAAAATTGCAAAACTTTTTCGATAATTTCATTAGCCCACAACCGATTCGACTGCGGCAACGAAATAACAATAAATGACGAAATTAAGATAACAATAAAAAGCTTGAAGAGCTTTAAGCTCATGCCAAGATTTTTGTACATATATAACCCGGTTAGTTGTGAAAAGCTCAACAGATGTGCTATGGAAGGCACGCTGCCTACAACTGAATTTTCTGTGTTTATATTTTAAAGAGCATTAAGCGAGAATGTCGTCGAGAAATCAACAAACAAATGATGAGAAGATCAAACTGCCTGACTGGCTAAGGGCAGAACTATTTGAGAACTTGCTGAAAGAAACTATTGAACATTTTAAGGCAATAAAAGCGTTTAAAGCGGTACCCGGAACAAAACCTGGCGATAATTACGCCACGGTTATGCTGCGAATCGAGTTGGAGGTGGAATTAAAAGGTGAGTCGTTGGAGTATACAATTGATAGAACAATTTTTAATTTACTTGTAATCTACACAGATAACACAACTAAATCCATAACGTACATGCTGAAAATTCCACATGTCTCGGAGGCATATCAAGATACCTTTGGAAAAGCCAAGCATAGCATATTTGATATTGAACGGGAAGTCTTCACTATATATGTAGAGGAGCTCAAGCAGATTTACCGGGATGTTGGCCTGCAGATTGAGTTTGGTGCCAAGTGCTATAAGTTGGACATTCCATATGAACATGTGCTGCTAGAGGATCTAAAACCTTTGGGCTTTCAACCTGTTAATCGTCAGGCAGGCCTCGATGAGGAGCATACCCTGGATGTGCTCACAAAACTGGCTCAGTGGCATGCAGCTTCGGTCGTTCGGGTAGCCACAATTGGTCCCTATCCCAAACATATATCGGGGGGAATTCTCAATGAGGATGGCAAGTGTGTGATAAGCAAAATGACCGACGAAATGTTACCCTACGTGCTTAAGGCCTTAGAATCAATTGAGGGACATGAGGCGTACTACGAGGACATTAAAAGTTTGGGTGGCCAAATTACGGAAAACATTTTGCAAGCTGGCGTAGTCGATCCCAATGAGTTCAATGTTTTGAATCATGGCGATTGCTGGCTGAGCAATATGATGTTCCGTTATGATCAGAATACAGGCCAGCTATTGGATTCGTATCTGGTCGACTTTCAAATGTGTAACTATAGCAGCGTTGCATTTGACTTGCTTTATTTCCTGATATCATCACCCAAACTGGAGCTGAAAGTAAATAAATTCGATTATTTTGTAAAGCAGTACTACGATCAGCTGATAAAACATCTAAAGCTATTGAATTACACTAAAAAGCTACCCGATCTAGCTGATATACACACAACACTTATACAGAAAGGCATTTGGGGTAAGTATTTGTTTACAGAACTCAATGAATTATTTACAGATAATAATATTTATCATTTACAGGGTATATGACGACTTTTGGTGTTTTGGCAGGCAGTGCGTTGGAACCTACTGAAACAGCTAGTTTTGATAATCTATTTTCCGATACGCCCGAAGGAGACGCATTTAGAACTCTTCTATATTCTGGTAAGGTCTACAAGGAACACGTCAAGGTTATCCTGCCTTGGCTACAGAATCGGGGAGCTCTCCAGTCCCGCATTCGCAATGATAACTAATCATTAATTATATTTTAACTTTGTTCAAATTCAAATTTTGTTTCTAAGAATTGTAATATAAATGTACTAAAAAGAATGCCTTAATAAAATTAAATTCATCAAAAAAATACTTGTATCTTCCGAAAATGTTTTCAGTTGGTGAGTAATATTTTACACGCATAGGTTAATCCTGTAAACAGGCCTTACAGAATAGTATAGAAAAACCTATTAGAGATTGAGTCAACTAACATAGACTATCGTCGACTAAGCCCCCCAATTTGTTAAGAAAAACAGTAATATCATCTGTTTATAATAAAACCGAAGAATAACACAATTGCACAACAATACTATAATATTTATTATTATTATTAGGGGGGAAGCTGCACCGCGACCTATTTAATCTATTGTGCCCCCCTTCTGAGCCTATAGCTCTTCCATCAGCCCCAACTCCCTTACGAACGTGAGGATCTTTGTTGGGTTGAGGTCTACTATGTCTTTGTAATTCAAAACATGCGCTCCTAGGATGCTGCTTCTTCTTCTAATTAAGGCGACACATTCTACCAGGATGTGCATCGAGGATTCCTCCTCTCTTTCACAAAACCTGCAGAGATCGCTACTATATATACCCTGTCAATAGACCGGTAAGTATCCTAAGGTTGTTCTTTCCCATGGTTATAATCTGTTTAAAACGTGCAGGATTATAACCACCAAGGAGACATCTGGCTTGTCGGAGTCCTACTGCCTCTGACCAGCTCTGATGCCGTCTCTGTCTCTCCTCGTCTCTAAGTTCCAGTCGTATAGTGTGTCTCCCTATGCCACAATACGGTTCTGGTCCTGTTAGAGGCCTTTCTGCCCCCATTCTTGCTTGCTTGTCAGCCGCCTCGTTTCCCGATATGTCCCTGCGACCCGGGACCCATCGTAGGATGAGCCTGTTGTGAGTCCCGAGCAGGTCTAGCTTTGAACGAACTTCATGGACTACCTTCGATGTTATCTTAGTCCCCATTATAGCTTTCAATGCTGCTTGACTCTCGGATAGGATGGATATATCCGTATTCCGATAGTTACGTTCTATGTTGATGTCCGCACATATCCCTATCGCACACACCTCAGTCTGAAATATGCTGGTGTGCGTTCCCAGGGATTCATGGTAAAATACCCGAGGACCCACCACTCCAAGGCCGGTGCCCTGATTCGTGAGTGATCCATCGGTGTACCATTTTATGGTGTGCGTTTTCATGGGATGGACTTCATCCAGAGTTGTCCATTCCCTTTTACTACTCATACGAACTGTGAAATTTCGCTCGAATATGTATTCGGCTGCCATTTCGTCCCTAGGTTGCGTCAGTAGGGGTAGTTCGTTTGAAAGGAGTTGGGCATCTTTATGGCTTAAGATATGGTTGCCCCCAACTCCTTCTGCTGATATCCTGAGAAGCGTGGCTTCCTACTTAAGCCTTATGATATGGTGGAGTGGTGTGAGCTCCATTAAGGCTTCAATACTATAATAACAAAAATATAATAATCTCAAAGGCAGTTAGAGGAAAGTTCCATTTATAATGAATTTAATCAATGGTACTTCCAAACACACGTACTTCACATTTCCCATAATAGACAAGGAAAATATTACTTTATGGGGTCATTGAACCAAGTTTTGAAGGTCTGAGAGCCGTAAGAGAATTCCATGAACTAAATCACACAAGAGAAAAGCTTTCTGAATATTCCGAAAAACCTTGGCATATTTGTGTATTTTTTAGAGAGGGCCGTTAAGCTTTATAATTAATTGCAGTAGTTTGTCGCTGGTCGTTTGTTGATGGCTTACGGGTGCGAGTATGAATAAATAGAGTGTGAAAGCTAGATAGATATTAGAAACGCGATATTCACTACGGGAAACACAACTGCGTCAATTGTGAACAACTCGACGGGTAATTTATTTAATAGATCAAAATGACGACTGAAGCAAAAACCGATCAAACTGCCAGCAAAGTGCCCGACTGGGTACAAGCCGATCTATTTGTGGATGTGTTGAAGGAATCGGTTAAGGGATTCTCCAAGATCAAGAGCTTCAAGGCCGCAGGCGGAACGGCTGCAGGAGAAAACTATGCGACGGTCATGTTGCGTGTCAGTATTGAAGTCGAACTGGAGGGTGAGTCATTTTACGAACTATATCTTATCACTTTCTACGATCCACTGTCTGTACGTGTGTCTGTCATAGATGGCAAGGAAAAGTCAGTTTCGTATATGCTTAAACTGCCTCATGATCTGGAGATGTACAAAAAGATGATGGAGAGCAACAATATCTTTGAGGCAGAGTTCAATATGTACAAAACAGTTGTGCCTGAGTTGGAGCAAATCTATCGTGATGCTGGTGTGGAAGTTAAATTCGGAGCCACTGCCTATGAGTTGAAGGGGGCGAAATCTGATTATATACTGCTGGAGGATCTGGCACCCAAAGGTTTCAAAACCACCAACCGCTTAGAGGGATTGGATCAGGCACACACTGAAGTTGCCCTGCGAAAACTGTCGATGTGGCATGCCGCCTCTGCGGTGCGTGTGGCCACTAAGGGTTCCTATCCAGACCAGTTGACCATTGGGTTCTACAAGGAAGAACTGCGTCCAATGATGATTGAAATGAATAACAATATAGCAGGGAACTTCCTTAAATACTGTAAGTTGTACGAGGGCAACGAGGAGTATATTGACCGAGTTGTAAGTAATGTAACATTAAATCCGTTACGAAACCATTCATATTAAGTATCTATATTACTATCGCTCCAATAGAAAGAGATGATGCCAGAGATCACCGATCAAGAATTCAAAATGACTAAAATAGATCCAAATGATTTTAATGTACTGAACCATGGTGATTTTTGGAGCAATAATATGATGTACTCTCATGATTCATTTGGCAAAATCAATGAAATCCGTCTGGTGGACTTTCAAATACCTAAATTTGGCACAGTAGCTCAGGATTTGTATTATTTACTATTGTCATCTACAAAACTCGAGGATAAGCTGACTAAATTCGATTATTACATCAAAATGTATCATGAATGCCTATTGGAAAATCTGAAGATTCTGAATTATTCAAAACATGTGCCTACACTCCGGGAAATTCACTCAACGCTCTTTAAATATGGCTTCTGGGGTAAGAGAAACAAATAATTGTAATTTATGAATGAATTTTTAATAACAATTACAATAATTTTGTAATCAGGTTACCTGACTGCAACAAGTGTGATGAGTGCCGTTTTGGTTGATCCTACGGAAACTGCCAGCTTTGAGAATTTTCACAGCGATTCCACAGAAGGCAACGATTTTAAAATGTTGCTCTACTCCAATCCACGCTATCGAAAACATATCCAAATCGTTATGCCTTGGTTGCTGAATCGTGGAGCCTTTGATGAACTAGAAAGATAGGAAATGTATAATTTATAAACATATGCCAGACAGTCGGCAAATGTTTATTTATTTCAGCACTATCAATTCTAGTGAGTCATAGGGGAAATTAGGCTGCAACCAAATAGTGCATCGTGCATTGAACTCGGAACGGCATCGTAATGAAAAAAAAGAAAAATAGTCGAAGTCAACAATTTTATTGATAATATTCGCGGAAAAGCGTAAGTCTGCAGAGCGCTGTTGGCTCTATCGAACTGAAAGCTTTCGATATTGTAAATAATTCAATAGCAATAATATAATCATAAAAACAAACAAATTGAACTTAATTACGGAAAATAAATGAATATTAGATGATTAGTGTATCGAAGTTGTTTAATGTTTAATTAAATGTGTTAATTGATATATATATATTTCACTTATTATTTATTAAGTTATCTTTATGTACTTAATAGTAAATAAACTTCCATTAAATTAAGTTATCTCTCATGACAACAATTTTTAAGTTTCTTTTATTAAATAAACTGCGGCTTAAAAACAAAGTATGCATTTCAATAAAATTAAAATATTATAAGATTGGAGCCGGAAATGTTAATCAAAAATAAACCGATATCGATAACCTTAATTTTACAGACCCGCGGTACTCTTCCTTCACACTCAACAAGTTAAGTGATCGAATCCTGGGTATATTTCATATTTACTTTTACCTCTCCAAAAGCTCTCCTATTTTTTAGCTCAGCGATTGATATGATCAAAGCAAATAATTGAACTGATTATTAATCGAAAATTAAGCCAATCCATTAAATAAAAGCTGGTGAGTTTGGTTAAAATATCTCCCTAAACAAAAAAGTTGTACTTGTACATAATTCATTTAGCATCTATCCTATATAATTTTCAGATTTGCTTCTATTTCGACTTAAGGAGTAAATGTCTAAAGCGAGTAGTTTTTTTCATAAAACAATTATAAATTTACTGAATAGTTCATACGAAGAAATACACATAAAATAAAGAAAAGCATGAAATAAAGTAAAACACATACACATTAAGAAATCGTCTCCAACATGAATGTAGAGATTAATATTAAAGAATATAACTAACTAAACAAGTAAGAGTGCTGTAGTGGGGTGAGCTCGGCTACGATATACCATAAGCCCAGATGTTATATATATTCTAGTTGTTTTTGGAAAATTTATTTTTAAAAAGTTTTGCACCCAAATGTGAGCAGGTCTGCAAGTGCACTCATTTCTTATAGCAGAGCATTTTGGACGATAACTTCGATGTTTCTTGTTCGATCTCTACGAAATAGTTGATCAATAATATGCATATACATAATAATTATAATGTTCTTCCTTTAAAATTGAGGCATTTATTGTTGATTTGACGGAGACAGTTCTCGATAATGTGCGTCGGGTACCCGAGAACCTATATTTCAAATCTAGCTCTTTGCTACAGACGGACGGACAGACGGACATGGCTATATCGACTCGGCTGTTTCCACAAAATTGTGATACTGCATTTAATCATTAATACTTATAAACATACGTATTTCACAACATTCCAAATAATAAGCAATGAAAATATTACTTGTAGTGGTCAATCACAAGTAAACTAGTTTTGAGCTCTGAGAGCAGTAAGAGGAGTCCAAAACGCAAACAGTCAATCGGGAAGCTTTCTGAATGCTCATTACATAGTCACTCATGATTTTAGAGAGGCCCAAAAAGCTTTGTTATTTTTGGTAGTAAAGTGTCTCTCTTCTCATTTCGTTTTCAGATAGCAAATATGTGTACGCTGTAGGTTTACGAGGGAGTGCTAGTAGACATAAATGCAGTGTGAAAGCTAAATAGAATTTAGAAACGCGCTGTTCTCTACGGGAAACACAACTGCGCCAATTGTGAACAACTGGACGGGTAATTTATTTAATAGATCAAAATGACGACTGAAGCAAAAACCGATCAAACTGCCAGCAAAGTGCCCGACTGG